AGGCAAAACCGTGCTCAAGCCACGCAACCTTTGGGCGGGCCATGATCCTTTTCACCAGTCGTGCTATGGCATGAAGCGAGACAATGAACATGTAGGGACACGCACAGTGTCCGCGCAGCCTGAGGTGGTGCGCCGCGAGCGTCCCGCAGAGGTTACCATCAGCCTCTCATGGGCAGCAGCACTTGAGCCAGATGCGCGTAGCAAGTGGCTATCGCAAGCACTGCAGAGCATTGCATCCGGGAGAGCTCGTGCTAGCGACATCTTTGACGTGGTGACCCATGCCCGCTTTGCAGCAGGCGTTTCGTGTGCGGTCGCCACCCGGATGATGCAGGACTTGCAACGGCATGTTGGCCTGTTCCCACAGAAACTTGGACAGGCCCTTGCGGCGGACTCCTTTCCCTTAGCTGCCGCTGCCAAAGGGCCCGCGAAGACGGCTCCCAAAGTGAATCCTGAGGTCGAAGCCATGCTGGCGCGCTGCATCGATTTTGTGCGGCGGAACGAGTCAGCCATTCAGGCTGTGCACAACCTCGAGTCCAGGACTTTCCAGGTACAGCTGCAGCGAGAGAGGGAGACGCTCTGGGGAATCACCTGGGCACGGGAAGCCTTCCAGCAGAGACGGCGCGTGGTGCAGCAGTTGGTCCCCGGAAGCCCCGCCGCCAGGTGGAACGAGCAGAATGGGTGGACTTTGCAAGCTGGGGACGAGTTGGTGGCCGTGAACGGCCTCCGAAGCTGGGAGGACATGTCTTCTTTCAAGGACCTCCTTGAAGCACGCCTGACCTTTGTTCGAGCGAGGCCGGAGGAGCTGACGAAAGAGCCGGAAGGGCCTCGGCAGACCTTGAGACCGCCCAAGTTTGGGGAGGACTATTTGCTCGATGCTTCTGGCAGCGGGTGGTGGGGGCACATGAGCGGAGCCTGGCTGTTCAACAAGGCTGAGGGCATCTACTTCCACACCGTTACAGGAAAGCTGATCATGGAAGATTCCCAGACTGGTGACTTCATCGCTCTTGGCAGCGCAGGCGCCCCCGACTTGGCGCCGCCTGCCCGCCTCAAAGGTTGCATCCGTTGGTTCTCCAAAGGCTTTGGCTTCATTGCACCCTGGCCGGAGCTGCGGGATAGTGCCTCCAGCGATGTTTTCCTGCATCGAAGCGAGCTCCTTCCGCCAGAAGGGGAGCCGGCTGCACTTCCCGTGATTCCTGGGATGCCTGTGGACTTTGACTTGTCTATGAAGGACGGCAAGCCAAGCGCAACTTGCGTGCGACAGCTCCTGGATTTGCACGCGCTGTGCAGGGTGGGCTTCTCCATTGGGTCTTGCTCCCGCTTTGTGTCCGCCCCAATCGAGCTGAAGGCAGAAGGTGGCCAGAGATTGGTGGCCTGCAGCGCTGGCCTGGTGCTGGGGCGCCGTGGAATGGGAGGCGCGGAGTTCGTGGCTTCCAATCTCACAAAGGACCTGCAGTGCAGCTTCCGGGGCCGTGAGCTGGGGGGCGTCCGTGGCGCCAAGGCTGCCATGCTCGCAGGCTTTCAACGAACTCAGCAAGGCTTCTTGCAGTATGCGCAACACTTGAGCGAGAACTCGGCGCGGCTGTGGCTGGCGGCAGAGACCAGCGCCAGCATGGCGTTGATCTTTGGGCCTGACAAGGATGCGCAGCCCAGCCTGCTGCTGGGCGACGTGGGCTCGGCAGCGCAGGGCCTGGTGGTCCGCAAGGATGGAAGCGTTTCCTCGCGGATTTGCTGGCCAGGCGCATCGAGGGACGAGGAAAAGGCCAAGGACAGCCTGAAGGTCTTCGAGCATGGCCTGAAAGGGCCGTCTATCAGCTTTCCGGCCTTTCGGCCCACGACGGAGCCGAAAGGTTTTGGGGCACACGCCTCCGAGAAGGATGGCCTTGCCGCTGGCCTGTCGCCGCGGATTGAGCAGTGCCAGCTTGACTGGCAGCAAGATGCATGGCTGCTCCTCGGCTCCCCAAGTCTGTGGGCCTGCTTGGACGAGAACAAGGCAGCGCAGCTGGCGACGATGGCAACGTCCCCTGAGCAGCTTGCAGAGGACATGCTGAAGGCGCCAACGCGCAGAGCAGGATTTCAGGACTTTGCAGCGGCGGCTGTGCGCTTCCCCTGGGTGGCCCTCGGACCGCAGGTTGCTTCTGAGGCCAGGACATCAAGGACGGAGGGCCGGCTCAAGCGCCGCAAGCTGCAGGAAGTCGACGACATCTTTGCGCCCAGGGAGCAGGAGAGCGAAGCCTCGGAGTCAGAGGCCTGAAGCGGAAAAATGCCAACCGCCGGTGCAGCCGTGAGTTTGTGACGGATCGCTTGGTTACATCTTGTGTTGTAGGAGTTCTTTGGACTGGTGCGTTTGAGGCGGGCCGGGTTTTTCAGTTTAATCCCAAACTCGTCCCATGGATACGTTGCTGCTTTTGGTCATAAGACCATCAACGCCAAGGAGAGTAGCTGGGAACTGGCCCAAAGGCTTGAGCTTCAGGACCTTGATGCGTCAGTGACGTCAAGATTGGCCAATTCCCTGAAGCATCCAAAGTATCCTATTTCCTTACACGCCTCACTGTTGTGAGGGGCCCTGGCTGAATGTGGGCCGCATGAATATTACAAGCCAGACGTTTGTTAGAGTGCCTGGCTTTCCTTCTCGCCCAGGCAGTTCCTCCTTTTGCGCGTGCCGCGTGCATGCATACTGCATGCGTGGCTGGTGCTTGCTTGTGTGGGCACGTTCGTGCATACATACCGATTTCGTGAGCTTGAGGACATATCCATTGCTTAAAGCAACGTCTGAGGTTTTGCATGTTCGGCTTCCAGTTTTGTAGCTCATCTTGTTGTTTGCGCGCATTCCACAGCAGCTCTGTAATTTCTGTGGCCCTGCAAGACCTAGGATGGAGATCCCCAGGCACCGCAAAGGTTGAGACCTGCTCTGAGGTTCTTTGCTTATGTGCTGGCAGATCCGGCGGAAGCTCGCAGGGGGCCACAAAGCGACCGAGCTAGTTTGCAGCACCGTTTTTGTTCTTCTTCTTTTTTTTCTGGGAGGGGCTTTGCGGAGTTTCTTTGCTTTCGCCCAAGCCTAGAGCCAACCATTTCTGTCAAAACTGTCCGAGGTTCAAGCAACATCTCAACAAGGGAAGCTGGGCAGTGTCCGGAGGCGGTTTAACGTTGCTGGGTGTTGCAGCTTCATGGTGGTTCTTTCTTTTCCACGTTGTTAAAATGCTGCCTTCTTGGACCTTTCCTATTGCTTAGTAGTTATTGCTGGCTCCTGTTCTTTCCTGTTAGCTTCTAGTTTCGCTTTCCGTTGCCTCCTTTTCCTCGACGTCTACCCCTGTAATGATCGTACTTAAGAGGACCTTTCCGTGTGCCGTGTTGGTTTTTTATGCAGTTCACACTTTGGGGGATGGGCCCAGGTATATATTTTTGGCCAGCCTCAGTTGCTCATCTTTATTTCCTGTTCTTGTCCCGGCTTTTGGGTGAGGTGAAACACTTAGAATTGCTGATTAGTGGCTGACATTCCCTCTGCCAAAGCTCACCGAAAGCATCGCAGCATCGACTGGCCGGGCACCCCGCTAAAACAGCAACCTCAGTCGAGTGCATTGATCGGGGCCAAGCACCTTAGAGTCGCAGGTCGACATGTCGCCTTCGACAGCCCACAGAAGGGAGAGAGCCGGGCGTCAGCGGTTTTAATTTCAGTGGAACGTAAGGGATCCGAGCTGCTACTGATGGACGGGATCCATTTCGCACCACTGCGAAACCATGAAGGAAGCCACTGTTTGTTGGTATTTACAAGGGGAATCTGCATTCCAGGGTTCCTTAGGTGGTGCAGGATTTCGTGCATCCACAGTATGTTGGCCTTGTTGAGCAAGTGGTTGCTTCGAAGGTGGTCATTCCCACCTTCCGCTGCCAGATGTACCCTCCCTCCCAGAAACATAGCACCTGTGGGAGGGTACCCGGAAGATGACTTTCCTCTTGGGGGTACCCTGTGTCAGTTGCCATGTTAGTGGGAGGGAGGGTAGTCATTTCACGATGCCAGGTGCAATCACGATGCCCATGTTGAGCTCAATTCACTTGCGGTTCGTGGCCCTGCTTAAGCACAACCGGGAATCAGCCAAGTTCCAATCAAAGCTTGCCTTTTAGTTTCCTGCGGGCAGGCGGGGTTTCCTGCTCTCTGCTGCCGAAAGGTCTCCTCTTGGTAGGACCCCTGGTGGCAAGGCACGCAGCCTATGCAAGGCGAAGCCTGCATTCCCTTGTGGCCTGGGAAGCAAACACAATGGAGGGGAGGGAGTCAAGCTACCACGTGAGTGGCTTAGAGCATAAAGGTAGAAGTCGGGCCTGTTGTCCCTTCGCTGGCGAATAAAACCCATGCCGTGGTCGGGTCCCGAGGCAAATCGATCAAAGGAGCCGCATCGCGGGCAGCCGAGTGTTCTTGGCGATCAGCTGCAATGATTATTCGGGCTTCAATCTTGAACAACGCAATCTGGTGGAAGTGGTGGTTCTTTTGCATAGGGCACAGGGATGCATCAAACCTCGTCTTGTGATGAGTCTACAGTTGCGTCAGGTAAAACTGCCTCTGACGCTTATCAACCGCCATGCAGTGGTGGCTGTGAGCCGCCGTGATGCCTTGACAACGACATCGGGTGATGGGAATAAAGCTCTCGTGACTTTGGCTGCCTCCCCCTACATTTGATATTTGCAACAACTAATTGCAACGTGTCAAGCCATCCCCCACCCTTCAGCGATTTTCGCCTTGATGGTTTCCTTGCATCTTCGCTCAGAAATTGCACTCATGACCAAGCCCATGTCAAGAGGTCGAGCATGCTCGCAGCATTGTGAAACTCTGCGCTGTGGGTGGAGGGGAAAATCCTGACATGGTTTCTTTTAACTCTGTTGTAGGGGATCGTTCAAAGCTATTCCGTTCAGATGGGAGGGTGCCGAAGTTCCCCAGGAGACGGCGAGGCAGGGACAAGGAGGGCGGAGGCCTCGTCCCTTACCACCAATTTGGCAACTGAATTGCGAGCCACGAGGCCCACAGGCATTTTGCCATTTTCAGCGCCTTCACTCCTGGCGTTATAGTGTCTGAACATTAGGGTCTGGTCCCAAAGAAACCACATGGAGACTTAGTTTATTTTTTGGGCTTGCATTTGTGCTCCTAAAGTTCTACTCGGTTTGCTTGGGGGCTGGCCATGTTCCCCTGTGCGGCTTTGTTTTGGACCAAAGCCGCTGCCCAGGCCCTTCACATTGTGGATACCAAAGGCAGCCTGGCGCATTGCAGTCAGTACTGTCATTACCAAGGGCTATGACTCTCACTCGGCTTGAACGCCTCCGGCTCAGGCCATTGACATAGGGCTGCTTTCTCACATGTGTTTCATGTGCACATGACAAACCCCGTTTGGGAAAGGACCTTTCGTTTGAACTGGTTGGTTTGTGTCTCTTTGCCGCAGGGTGTAATGAGCGGAGATGAGCGGAGATGGGTGTGGGGCGATTCATTTTCTCATGCGTGTTTTACATGCGGAGCGCATGCAGTTGCGGGGGTGCTACTGATGCAACCAAGCCCTGTTCTGCTGATGCTTCTTGCTTTTCTTTTGTTCGCACTCGTTCGTTTGTGGTCTGGATCGGTAGTGTGGGGTTTTGAACCCGTGTTCTTGTAGAGGGCCAATGGAAAATCAATGCACACTTCCTTGTTACTTGCACTTTTTGGAAAAGTTGCCAGAAGTGATGGATTGGGGTGCTACTGACGTGACGCAACAGGCCTAGGGCTTTTTGTTTTTGTTTGCCATTTCGTTTGCCTGTAGGCTTTTGTTTTCATGTTTTTTGCCTGGGAGGGGTAAGGGGAGGGGCAACAGGTAAGGACAAACTGCATCTCTTGTGTCCAACACGCTGTTTGCAGTCGGCGGATTCATGAAAACCATGGCCACAGTCTCTAAGATGGACAGGAAGATGCGAACAAATGGCCTTCCAGGGGGGAGGGGGGGGGGTGGTAGGGGGACTTCATCGTGGATACCGGGTGGGAGCGGGGTGTGCCGGAAATGAGACTGTTAACTTGAGATGGCGATTTCTGCCTGTCACCCTCTCTCTTATTTGTTGTAGTGATCAACAGAACCACTAAAGATGCCCGAAAGACTTGTGACTGCCCGGACATGGTACTGGTGGCAAGGTGTCCTACCCCTCCACGATAGGTGTCACTAGTGTTTCCCCCCGTGTACTTGTTGGTCTGTGTGTGTGTGTGTGCAGTGGTTGATGTCCAGATTCCGAGCAGAGAGTTTCTGATTCACTGCACTTCAGGCATCTCCTGCGTCACCAGCCAATGTGGAAGGAAGGCCTACGAGGCCTGAGATCGATCTCGATTGCGTTGGGTTCAGTCGTTGAATGCTTTGTTGCGCAGTGGTGCCCTTTTTTCCTTTTTTTTTTTCCCTTCGGGGAAGGGTTCCCCTTTGAACTCAACCAACAAAAAAGGGTTTCCTTTTTTTCCATGGCCACTGGGCATCTGAGAACGAGTCCCAAGTGACCGCTCGTGTTGTGTTTCCTTCTTCCAGATTCAAGAAGAGCGCTTCGCAGCTGGGCAATCGCCATTGCACATGTGGGCGGGATTTGCGTTTTACTTTGCCGCTGGTGGCTGCAACAGGGGCATGGTAATTTGCAACCATTGACTGTTGGAATCGATACGCATCTTACATGTAGAGAAGCAAACACATCCACACACACACACAGGATACGTATACTATCAGTTACTATCCATCTATTTGCCTATCTAGCCATTTGTCTGATCTAGTCTCATCTAAGCTACATACATCTGAGTTATCATTTCATGTAGTCCAATCTTATCCAATCTAGTCTCATCTCATTTCATCCAATCCCATCCCATCCTACCCCATGCATCCGTCTACCTACCTACCTACCTACCCACCTACCTACCTATCTATCTATGTATCTATCTATCTATCTATCTGTCTGTCTGTCTGTCTGTCTGTCTGTCTGTCTGTGTCTGTCTGTCTGTCTGTCTGTCTGTCTGTCTGTCTGTCTGTCTGTCTGTCTGTCTGTCTGTCTGTCTGTCTGTCTGTCTGTCTGTCTGTCTGTCTGTCTGTCTGTCTGTCTGTCTGTCTGTCTGTCTGTCTGTCTGTCTGTCTGTCTGTCTGTCTGTCTGTCTGTCTGTCTGTCTGTCTGTCTGTCTGTCTGTCTGTCTGTCTGTCTGTCTGTGTGTCTGTTTGTGTGTCTGTTTGTGTATCTGTTTATTCGTTTCATTTGTTTATCTGTCTATTTATCTAATTTTATATCTATCT